ATAATACTAATTTTCACATAGATACAAAGTGTTCAGTGTGATTCATGTATATTGTTACATAAAAACTGCCGCATTAGGCGATGATATACAAAGCGATGTCTAATTTATAGTAACATACATTTCTCATACATTTCAACAATGTATATGTAAGGTTGTTGTTGGTTTTTTTAGATGAGTTTTATTTTGCGTCTTAAACTTTTAAAGCTGCACGCCTCCAGATGAGCCAAACTATTCCAAGAAAGTAAAACTTGAAGAAAATGCTCTAAGATTTTAAGAAAAGTAAAAAAAATATAAATACATGTATTGCATGTTGTTCTTTTTGCGATTAATGATTGATTGTTCGGTATATTCCTGTATTATCTTTTTCATATTATTTTTCAAAGAAAAAAAATATCAATCTAAGTTAATAAACATAATTATTGTTCTTAAATGGAATCCTCTAAAAACTTTATATTGTTGGGTATTTAGAATTAAGTTTTAAATTGTCAACATGACATTGAAAGTAATGTAGGATTTAAACTTGGATCGCATGCATGATACATGTTTTGTATGACTATAGCTTTTGTTGTAAATTCATAAACAATTAAGCGTACTGTAATTTAGTTGGGGGTTCTTTTTTTTTGCGAAAAAAATGTTTAATATTTTTTCTTCTGTAGATAAGTAAATCGCACCTGTACACGTTCTAACGACAATGCTATGTGTGTTATGTTTGTTTTTGTTCATGTCTTTTTTTTAATATAAAAATTGAAAATCTGTCTCAAGGGACGCTTGCAGTTGTCACCGACAAGTCATATCAGAATTATCTATATTTTAACGACATTTTCTCTGGTTCACATTGCATATGAAATGAAATAAAAATTGTTAGATAATATTTCTCAAATAACAGATCAAGTTCAGATTACCGCGAACATATTTATAATAAAATGTTTATTGTAGTAAATACATTTTTTAAGAAGTATGCGACTGTTGGATGCACATGCATCGGTTTGTGGATGAGATTTTCTTTATATGTTTCTTTTTTATTTGTTTTCAGTTTACTATTTTCAGTTGGTTTTTTTTAATATTTGTTTTTTCTTTCTCTTTCAATTTGTTTCTTTTTAATCCTTATTTAAATTATCAAAGACAACTTTTAGTACATGAAATACAATTATTCACATAATAAGAAAATCAGCTTAATAATAACCAGTTATCCCACTATTTGATAATTACACTTTTATACATTATTAACAAAAAAAACTTAGATAAAACAAGAACAAGAAACATCAACAAAAAATACCTTTTAAAACATCTGTGCAAATAACTTGGCAACGTCTTCGTGAAATAAGCCTACAGAATTGGATAATAACAGGGTTTTTAAGCTTTAACAATCTGCCAAGACTCAATAGAAACAAGGAAAAAGATTATATTAAATCCCAACTATCATATGAAGTCTAAATCGAAAGTAATTGAGATCCAAACATGCTTTTCAAAACGCGGAAATGAAGCAAGTAAAATTGGCCATCGAAGCTGAAAGTTCTGCTCCATCCAGTAACGTATAATCGTTGTCAGCATGTAAGGTTTTGAAATAATTGGGTCTTTATTGGTAATCAATTTTATTATTGACTCAGAGACAGGTTTGCGGATTGCGCGGCAGTTAATGCCGGGGGAGCAAATAGTTTTTATGACGTAGAAACGTCATCTTCTAAAGTTATAATATTGGAAGTTAAACTTCAAAAGTGTTGTATTGTTTGCATTTTATATTGTTTATTATAGTAGGCATTAATGGGGTATCAGTACGGGGTGTCTATATTATAAAGTTGTGTTTTAGATGGGGCGGGATGAAGACCTTGGGCTTCCTGTCATTTCTACCACTGATTATACATTTTAAAGTTGTTAAGTCCGTGAAGAGGCTAGAGTGAGGAAGTTCAAAGAGGAATTTTAAGGTAGTCGGGCAGATAGTAGAGGCATTTAAAGTTTACATTTGTACCTATAAACGCTCTAACGGAGACTCGTGCCTGTGTTGCCGCGGTGATCGGTGATGGGCGCTGCTCTCCGTGATAACTAATGAGCACTAGAACGCGTCTGTTTTGTAAACCCATTGTGTAAATAAAAGCGCATGCCCAAAGTAAGGAAAAAATCATCAGCAATTCTATTTACAACTTAATCCTTCCAGTCACTTTAAGATTAAATTTGGCATCCTTTTTTTTACATAATCAGCGTTCTTTGTGTATATACATGTATTAAGTGTTTTGCTTGCTTGACACTTTTTTATACTGCTTTTTTTATTCGATGACTTTTTTTTCAAGCATTTTAAGGTACGCTTCAATCCTGTATCAAAATATTGGTGTTATTGACCATTATTATTTAATTTATTACACCGGACAAATGATGTTGACCTATTAAAAATGTCATATATTCATCAATGTATGATTGACTATATGAATAATTCAAGACTAGGTATAGACGGAAAGTTATCCACAGATTTTTATCAATATTTTCTTTTTTATCTTTAACATTGAAGATCAATGCTACAAGTGAATAATTAGATAGTTTATTATTCGGCTCTTTTGAAGTCTCATCCTTTATCATTTTGATTTAATAATTTCTGGTAACTCGAGTCACTGTCACAGATATAATCTGTTTGTCGTAGAATTGTGAAACTTTACCCTCAACAAACGTGGCTCACATTCGAAACAAAAAATGTGCAAATATAGGAAAATATGACTAACTGATAAAAATCGCCGATAACGAGCAATAAAAAATATAGTTATAGTTAAAATCACGTCATAGAATATTTGACATATTCAGTTTTTTTTTTTTTTTTGTAATTTTTTTTAGAAGTACATCGTGATTAAGATACGTAATTTTGGGTATGTATTTTTAATAATTTGAGGTTTTTTATGATTATCACGGATGGATAAAAATAATCAAAATATTATAGGTGTTGCTTCTTTCAGTCTGTCGGTAAAATAATAATAATAATAATATTAGTATTGATAAAAATACATATTTGTATACATTTTTCTTTTATTTTGTTCATTTTTTCATTACGAATTTTTATGCTATAGCTTGATACAAAACGATTAAACATTTGTTAAGACAGTAAGACATATAGGTTATGTACGACATATGAACGACATATAGATATATACGACACATAGATGTGTACGATATATAGATGTGCATGACATATAGATATGAACGACATTTATATATGTACGACATATAAATTCGTACGACATATAGATATTATGGAAAAGTAAAAATAACGTGAACTTAGTGCACACAAATGACCTCAGGTGAAATATTTACAATAATGCCCATATCGCACAAGCCTACTCTTCATATTATACAATAACTGCGGAATATATATAATTTATAGACCAGTAAACCGTTGTCGGGGGAATGATAGCGTTTATTATCTAATCTTATATGCTGTTCATATCAGCTAAATACCGAAAACAAATTACTGGTGGAATTTGAAATGCCTAATTTCTTATTGGGTGGTATGTCTGTTAAAGATAGAGCTAGGCAAAAACGTTCAGTGATTTCCGCGCAAACCATGTGTTTTAAGTTGTAAATGAACATTTATTTTACGTATAATGTATATAAAAATGAAGGGTGGATAGACATAGATTCAACGTTTGTAAAGCGCGAAAAGCATAAATCAAAATTTTGGAACGGTTAACGTGGCGACACGCTGGCTTTCAGAGTTCTGGACTTTGTCGAAATTTGCGCATTAAGATGTTGTTGACTGAACCAACAATTGAGCCGCGTCACGACAAAACCAATATAATGGGTTTGTGACCAGCATGGATCCAGACCAGCCTGCGCATTCGCGCAGTCTGATCAGGATCCATACTGTTCTTTATCAGTTTCTCTACTTGTTATAGGGTTTGTAAGCGAACAGCATGGATCCTGATCAGGCTGCGCGGAAGCGCAGGCTGATCTGGATCCATGCTGGTCGCAAACGCATTACGTTGGTTTTGTCGTGACGCGGCTCAAATATGCTTTATTAATAATAATTTCAACAATATTTTTTCTTCTTCTTAGAGCAAGTTTGAAATGTATAAATAAAAATATTGCTGAAAAATTTAGCACATCAGATTTTTTGGGCAGTGTCGATTTTGTTCTGAAACCAGTAGTATAACTTGATGTATGTTTTATTTTTCTAACCTAAAAGACACGTGCTTTATATGATTATCAAATATTGTCATAATAGTAGATTGTTATTGATATACAATACAGAAAAGACAGTGTTCTTGATACGTGTAACACTGTACTTGTGTTATTTCTTATGTCTACATGTGATACATTTATTATTTATTATTCGGAGAGCTTCGCACTCCTTGGGACTTGTTAAAATCAGAACGTATGATTTGTGACATGTCTTTTTTCCACCTTAAACACACAAATTACAACTTCCTTACAAACATCGAACATGAATTTATGTAAACAGTCGAGCTGTTTTGTCTGGCCCTTAGATTAGCCATGTTTGAGATATAAGTTTACAAGTGCTGGTTTATTTTTTTTTTCGTCTGTTACGTAGTTAATCAATTCATGATATAAGTACAGTTTTTCTTATGTAGTTGTGTTTTTAGCGTAATAACAAGGGCTCGAGTTGAATCATGCAAATGATTGCGATTTAATTTGTGCTGAAAAATATAATTAGATTGATAAAAAAATGAAAAAAAACACGATATCCGGGAGTTCGTACAATGTGAACATGTATGAGATATTGTAGTATAAAACGAATAAGTCGGAATAAAAAATCGAGGGTTTTTTTGGCGGAATTTCGTCGACTGTATTATAAAACAAAAAACAAATATCAAAATAGTTGTTTGGAAAAAAAAGCCAGGAAAAGTTCACAAGTTTTTTAAAGAGAATTTTATACCAATGGTCTATTTATGACATTCAAATAACATTTCTCGTTGTCGGTTGGTTTTGCAATCATCAAAAGTTCATAACTCGTTCAAAATTGTTGAGATGTCAATTCTTATCAAATTTTTGTCTGTTTTCAGAATGGCGGTCGGCTTCACGGACCAATGCAGGGAGTTCCAATGGTTGCGTCAAGCCCAGTGCGACACGAGAGCCCGATGCAGGCGAACCCAGTCGAGGTCCAAGCCTACCAACCTCCATGGAAGGCACTGAGCGATTTTGCCATGCAGAGTGACTTAGACCATCATCCACCTTTCCAACAACTGGTGAGCGCCTTTTGTGACGTCACTGAAGACGACGATGACGACATGATCGTCTGTTATGACGATTCACGATAAAAAACAATCAAAAACGCTAACAACTAAGCCCGCACAATTTACACGGTAAACCTGATAAAAATTACACAGGGACTTGTAGAGCTTTATTATAATAATATCAGAATGACCTACTTAAAAAAATACAAAAAAGTATCTGGCCTTGTATATTACTTATTAGTGAGACTTGCGCGTTTATTTATTTAATTTTTTCATTACTATAGAAGATGTATTCCCTTCATCAAATCTTTTTTTTTTTCCTGTTCAGAGATAATGATTTGAAATATTTCACATTTCATCTTCTTTATATGTATATTTACATGTTGTGTATTTTTATTGCTAGAAAATTATTCTACAAGCCCCTTTAAAATTTCTTTTCAGTTTTGCTTTCTTGCACCAATCTTTCTCGATGTGTTCTACCTTTTTTGTTTATTTCGTTATTTTTTCGCAGTGCATTTAGATCTATTTTTACTGAAAATTTGAAGAAAAAATCACTTATCTAACGATGTGCGTCTCTACAAGTCCCTGTGACAACAAAAAAAAATAAACGGTGAAAATGAATTCGGGAAAATTTGTGCTTAAGAATTTTGGTATAAAGATCATAAAAAAAGTTTCGAAACATTTTATTCTTTTTCAAAACAAAATTTGAATTAAAAATGCCTACCATAAAAAATGTTTTCATACAGTAGAAAAGTGGAAAATGCAATACTGACACTTGTTATTCAGAAGTAAAATGTTAAAAAATGTTTATAAATAGGTACAAAAGTTTGTCCTTTAAAATCGCAAATTTTCTACAAAAAATTCTAGTTTACCGTAAAAAAGTGCAGAGTTTAGTTTTTGCTTGTTTTTTCATTGCCTCAGTAGCGTTTTTATTTGTTTCTTTTATTTGTATTTCTTCTATATTACCTCATGCATGGATTTAGTATATTTTATGTATTTAATACACGTAGAATCGTGTAGCAGAAGATATTTTGTAAACATGGTATACTAGTATAGGTCCAGTTTTCAATAGCAAGCTACATGCATGGCGCATATATATCACACAATTTTCTGTTTAATACTAAAGATACACAGAATAATTGGAAAAATACTATGAGCCGCGTCACGAAAAAAAACCAACGTAATGCGTTTGCGACCAGCATGGATCCAGACCAGCCTGCGCTTCCGCGCAGTCTGACCAGGATCCATGCTGTTCGCTATCAGTTTCTCTAGTAATAGGTTTGTAAGCGAACAGCATGGATCCTGATCAGACTGCGCGGATGCGCAGGCTGGTCTGGATCCATGCTGGTCGCAAACGCATTATGTTGGTTTTGTCGTGACGCGGCTCCTATATTTTCGAATATCGTAACAGATGATGTTGACGTCGTGTGACTTCTGTAATTGTTTTATTAACTACATGTTTAGAAATGTACTTATGGAAAAATGGAATAGATCGAACATTTGCATGTTTTTGAAAGGTACTTACGTAATAAAATAATACAACATTGCTTGTCACTGCTTTGCGCTACTTGCGATTTAAACTGTTAGATTTTCTGTAAAGTCGGGCATTTAGTTTAAAGTGGATTGGTCTACAATGGACACATTTTTCAGAGTATTTCAGAAATCTAGAAAAACATAAGAAATGTATCATTTGGATATTCTAATGAAATATTGCTTAGAAAAAAATGTTGATAAAGTTCTGAGTGATATATTATGAACATTAATATGATGAATTATAATATTTTGTTCTAGAACATTTTATTATCTGCCATATAAATACCGGTATATGTAATTTCAGATCATGTATCTCACACTTGCCAACAATATCCATGTATTCTTTTGTGGTTTATTGTTGTGTCTGATACTAAATACTATCCACATAATTATTTTTTTGTATTACAAACCTTCCATTCTAGACCAATTCACTTTAATAGGTTTTGTCTGTTCAAAACATTCTACATTATTGTATAATGAGAAAAAATATTGCACCAAGTCCACAGGTTTGTAGCGCTGCAATATTTCGAAAGGAAACTTTTGGCTTCACAAATGTCAGGACATTTGCTCTAAATGGTTGTGTCTTTAAAATAATTCATTTATTTTAATAAAAGTATGTGACAGCAAACAAAAATTCACTGAGTATCTTGGTCTACCTTTGGAGAACATAATTATTATTGGTCAAAATATTTCTTACATCTAAACAGTTCCAAATGTGCATGTGTTGTTTTTATTTTTGTTTTGTTTTGTTTTTTACCAAACTAGACAAAACTCTGCCTCTTTAGGTATGAAAATAATATTAATAAAATACATTTTTTTTATTTTTAGATGAACTCTTTTGATCACATGGACACAGATGGACCCCAGGACCTTAGTATGGATAATGGATTTACCGGAAGTCACGTGGACACTTATTATGGATGGCCAAATCACCAGGATGAATACGTCACAACGGGATCCCCGAACTCTGATTATGGCGATTATGGGGAAACTCCTTCAGACTTGTCAAGTCCAATGAGTCAATGACCTAAATTCTAAAAATAGATTTCTATTAGGGTACGTGGTACAAATTTACAACGAGGCATTGGAATAAAGAAAGTGAAAAAAGGAGTGATGGCAAACAATGGGTGTGAGACCGGTTAATTAACAGACAAATACGGGCAACAAGAACGTGTATTCATTTATAATGGATTAATATGTTACTATGGAAGTTCTTGATTCCTGTACATTATGAGAATACATGTGTTAAAGTTGAAACTCTAATTTATTTATACATGTACGTATAACTACAGGGAAATCGTCAATTTAATAATGAACATTTGGTCAAGTGACTAAAGTAGAATACTTTTATATAAATGTGAATTTTTACATAATACGTTCTCAAAGAGTTCTCAAACACAAGTGGTATTACTGGAAACTCTTGATGTCACAGATATAATAATGTAATTTAAATTAAAATAAAAAAACGTCTGTAAATTGTTTTTGAAAAAGTGTGCAATATTTCTTGTGAAAGAATAAAAATGGGGAAAATGTAAATTATTGTTGAGCAGAAATTTGTGGTGAATATGTGTTGTACATCTGAATGTTTGCAAAAATCTGAATTGTTGATGATAATTAAATTTATTAAGTAAATGCCAGTTTCAACGGGTTATATAACTGAATGCAGGAAAAGAATCTTTAACCAATGGTATAGAAACAAATTATTTTATTCAGCTGGAGTAAAAATATGTACCGTGACAGTTTTAGAGTTTCAAAACTGAAAAAAAACGTACATGAATCGAAGTCTGTAAAACTTACAAAAAAACGAGGCTACCAAATTAAAACTTACCATATGTTCATGTCAATGGCCTCATTGCCTTATTTGAAATTGTAATTTTGTTGTTTGTTACAACAAATTGATATATGAAATAGAAAAACAACAACATTTTTTATCATTGTGGCTCAATAATAATAATAATAATATATATACCTTGAAATAAATTGTGTAAAAGGGTAAAAATGTAAAAATGATATAATAAAAACACGGGTTTCAAATTTGTTAATTTTTCTTTTAATTTGTGATGTGAAAAGTCGAAGTTTATAAGTAAAACAATAAACTAGTATTTCTCTCCTGCAAATTCAAATTTTGTTTTCTGTAGAAAGTTTCATATGTGCATTGAAAACACTTAAATATTAAAGTATTTCTTCTTCTTTATGTAGTTGAACAATGATACAATTCTTTTGTAAAAATAAAATAGTCTTTGCTGAAAAGAACAAAATGTAGTAGTAATTTTGATTGTAGTGGTATTTTTATGCGACTTTCAAATGAGGACATACTATCTTGTAATGCAAAGAAATTGAATTTACTTTTTATTTAAAGCTGCATGCCTCAAGATTTTTTGAAAATCAACCTTGAGAAAAAAATGTACTAAGATTTTAAGAAATGTCAAAGTATTCACAATTTGATTATTATATGCAATTGATGACTGTTTTTTTGCAGTATTTATCATCATATATCTACTGTGTGACTAACGCAGTAAGAGCTATTTTTGCATATTTTGACCTATGTGATGGTAATTTTCGTAGATTTTAAGTGTCGTTTGCAATGGTAAATTCACTTGACAATATTTTACTCTTTAATACATTTAAAAGATTTCATGAAAAATAACATGAATCTGTAGGCATGCTGCTTTAAACTCATATAACAAGTATTCTAAATATATACACATGATATATGATATAAACTCTTTAATGAGAAGTATTATGGGTAATATAAAAGAGTCTTTTATAAAAGGATCGATTTTGTTTCGGTTTTGTGAAATTGTGTTGTAAAACATCACTTAAAAACATTATATTTCAATACAATAATGATGATCTTTATTCATCATTTGAAGAATTTCTTCACGAACGTTTATTTATTGTTTATTTATTATTATTTTGTGAATAAATGCGTGATTAAATATCAATCTGTCTTATTTCTATTTTTAAATGATTGCTCCCTGGCACGCCTGTACATGTATATAAACACTTTCATGATGAGTGAAAATTATTCCATGTAATTCTGAGATTTACTCTTATACGTCTTTAAAATCCTTTTTACTTCAGCGTTCTTTAAACAGAAACATCCCGAATTCAAATTATGAATTCACCTTGCTTTGTTCCTGGAACAGTCCATTACAAGTTTAAGACATTTCAATATTAAAATACAAAATTTGAGCTAAATGGCCTGTCTCTTTTATGGTAGCAATGGCTAATCACGTGACAAAGTCTGCTCACGTGACAATGTCTGACAAGTTCCAGCAGCTTGAAGGTTAATATGCATGGACCTGAACTGTAAACTGGTAATAATAAACATAAATCGACAACAGTAAACTAGAAAAATGACATAAATTGACAGTGATACCTAAAAATGCTAAAAGGAAAACCCCAACAAGTTATTACTTTCAAATGTTTTAGTGTGCAAGGGCCCTAGAAAATGAAAAATGACTGAAAACTTCAATGATCATACAGACCTTTTAACATTACGATATTTCCTTAGAAACGGAAGTAGCATTTCGAGCATTCTCTTTCTGCGTAGGGCAAAAAAATGAAACCGAAAGAACAAATACAATGGCCCTGGAAAATGGATAAGGACTGAAATCTTTAATGGTCATATACGTAAACAATCTGCTGTCGAAGATCTTCAATAAAATTGATATATAAGATTGATCGATACATGTACATGATCAGAGAAAAACAAGGATGATTAATAGCTTTCGGATCTGAAAGGTGTAAAATGAAAGCCAACGAATTCTTTTTAAGTTATATTCAAATACAACGAAGACGCGTGTTTATTAAAAGTAAACGAGAACGTGAATATTGAAACAACAAATGAGAAGAAATTAAGAAAATTCAATTGTCCGTATCATATTATTGTGTATACGATTCGATGTGAAAAATATTTCTATCTAACGTGGATGAGAGAGCTTTTTTTTTAGCATTTGCCTCTTGCTCACGACAGACAAAATACGAAGTAGGTTGTTATTAAGATAAGTAAAAAGTCTTGTTCTTATAGATGACCAAAATCGATATTTCCTGTGGAAAAAGCCGTGAACTGTTTGGACAAAATTGTGGCCTTAGAAAAAAAAAACGTTTTGTGACCATGGATATAAATTTCAAGAAATCGACATAGTTGTACTTATTTTGTACATCATATACAAAAGTGTTTTTTCGGCGGGTTTCAAAAATCGTCTTACTACTGAAAAGCTGAGGTCATTAAAGTATTACGCAAGTTCAAACACTAACTAGGTACACATAGTGCTTATAGTCTCAGTCCAAAGCAAATAAGCAACCATACAACCCCATACAGCGCTACAGGGTTTGTTTGTCCAAATATTTACGTTTATATCATAAGCGATACATGTTGCTAATAATCAATGACGTAAGCGGCTTGCTCTGACCGCCATGTTTTCTGTTCCAAACCATAACAAGGTTTACCGTTACACTATTTCGTTACACTAATGAACTACATGAATGGTAAATTATAGCTTATTAATTAATATATCCCTTACGAATGGCTAGACTGAAGTATGTCTGTAGTTGATATGCAGAATAAATATGTAACGTCCAGAATGCACTGCTGGTAACTAGTACTGTTGGTAAAGCGGCACTTACATAAGGTTTTTGCAATATAAACTTTTATTATACAATGATTGCTTTTTTTCATTATGCTTTCACCATATTACGATGTGCAACGCTATATTGCAAACTAACTTCAATGGCAAAGATTTTGAATTATCTGCATTTACCTAAACATTTGAAATCTAGAAAAAGAGAACAAAAGTGTATGACTGGAAACATTTGACATCACCATCAACCGATTTAATAATCAATTAAATAACTATTTTTTTTCCATTTATTTTGAACCAGAAATTGGTCGTTTAAAATACGCAAGTCCGAGAGTTAGTTTTCTCACATGTCCGCACTTAAATTCTTAATTTCATCGTGACTAAATATAGAGGATTAAAAGCTTACAGTATAACATGAAAACGATCAGCGATTTCACACATTTGTAAGAACAATGTATCAACTTTTTTAATATCATTGATTGAAATTTTATTTATCTATTTATTGACTGTTTATTCATTCTGTATTGAGACCACTGCGGTTTATAATTAAATCAACTTTGTCCTGGTATGGATCTATTTTCATTTATTGGTGATTGCAGGATCGATATGATGTCAAATTCTGAATGAATGTTTTCTGAGTTGATGGTTTTGTCTAGAAAATAAAGATCTGATTCGAAGATAGCACGATATATTCACAACATCCGGAAATTTGCGATATTTTGCGAGATCACGGATCAATTACTCCGTTGAAAAAAAAAACACGAACAATTGACTGCATTCGCAATTATTATTTGAATTAAAATATTCGCATCGAGTTAAGAAAAAAAAGAAACAACAATAATGTAAAACATTTATATGCCTGGAGCCAAGATTCACGTTTATTTATTTTTGCTATGATGCTGACGGCCATAAAAGCGCCAGTGTCAGTGTCGCTTATCTCAAAGAAATCATTGTAATTTAAAATTGTATTTTTTGTCTGTTGTTTGTCACCTGTAAGAGTGTATTCTTACATCCACGTTTGAGACAACATCAGGTTTTTTATACACCGTAATAAGGCAGTCTTCTTTATTTTCGCAAATCCGTTATTCAAACTTCGCCTTCTATCTCTTATTTGCGGTCAGTAGGATAAATCCGAGAGCTAAGTAAACATTCTGAAGTGACACCATATTTTCTTTAGACCTTAGAGCATACAAACTTTGATCATAGTTTTAGATAATTCCCATCAGAAAATAATCAACGAAAATTACGTGTTTTAACCGTGTATACTGTAAGTCCATAAGAATGGAGTTGTATAATATAGGAATGCGCCAACGAATAGGTGGAATAACAGAAATGAGGGAACATAATTTTGACACTGTTTTGTTTATTTTTGATTCAGATCATACGATAACTAGACAATAATTGACATTGATGAGAAATGATTAAACCTAAAAGAAGAAACCATTACTCGGATATTATCGCGATTGCTCAATTGTACATTGGTAATGTTCGACTTGTGTAACGTGTCCCATAAACGATTTTCGACTTGTTCGTTTTTTTTTTCACGGTAGAATTTTATGTGCAAACTCCAGTTTTTACAACAGTGGGGTTATTTCATTTTTTTTCAAGCGTTCAACTCCGACTAGCATCATTGTGAACAAATATCATTATGTTATATATCAATAACTTTATAGTTTATTATCCATGTCATGTGTCTGCGTGTTTTTTTCTGTTGTTGTACATTGTGTGTATTAGTGTTAAATCGGCGTGTTTTATTTTATTTTATTTTATTTTTGTTATGATGATGATGATGATGATGATGATGATGATGATGATGATGAAAGTGATGCTCAAGAAGATGGTCTTGTTTTAAACATATTTATTTTAGCTTGATTGCGAAACAAGTTCTTGCAACTTTATTATCACTTTCGAGTCCGCCATTACTGGTGTCATATGAAGAAACATGGTGTCACCCGATAAGGGCTCGAACCCATGATCCCTGGGTTGAAAGGCAGACAAAATAACCACTAGGCCCACGCTCTCCTTAAGATGATGATGATGATGGTGATGATGGTGATGATGATAAAAACAATGAAGATAACGGTGAAAATATATCAAAGTCGCCACAGTAAGAATTCTCTTTGGCAATGGTTGGAGTAAATACTTGTTTAGTTAAATCAACACTTATTGAAAAAAATGTTAAATCATGCGACTTAGAAGCAAATTGTTTCAAGGTTTTTAAACTACTTTGACTTCTTTCGACAAGGCATTAGCTATTCAATAAACTATTTGTTCACATGTCTACATATTTCTATTATTTTACAAAATTGCGGAACGACCCTCTTTACTGGAAGTTCAAGACTATCAAAGTCTATCAATCAAACTTCAAAAACAAAAATTAATTCCCCTTATGTTTCCATAGGGTGCCAATATCAACATATAAAAGCGTGCTTAGGACAAGAAATTTGGTATTGATCCCAGAGAAGAGGCAGATTATTGAAATTTGATCGCCCTCACCATTGTTTGGATAATCTCCCAAAATATTCTATACACGAAAATCAAACTTTCGAGAAAATTGGTGTCAATATTTAATTTAACGGTTTGTGATATTGTCTATTCCTCCAAACATCTGGCTGACTGTTTATATTTCTATTATTTTCCGACATGGCGATTGATATAGCCTCTATGGTATAAAACAACATGGCATTGGTCAAGAATAATTCCTAGTGATAACACAGGTGCCACGCTACGGTCATGTCCGGCCGCGATTTTCTGTAATACATACATAGTTGCAAGTTGGGCATGTTTGGTGAAAACATTGGAAACATTTTGTCTACTGACAGCAACAGATTCTACGCATGCAACCAGTGCTGACCAGTGCCGACCAAGCTCCGCAGACACACCCGTGTTGTCTGGTCTTGACCCGCACTTTTCCTGCCACTATTCAGTCAGTGCACGTTTGAAAAATTTCCTTAAAATAATGAACGGTTATGTCCAGATTAAAGGATGGTTTTCTAGTCCATTTAAGACATTAAGCGATACTTTAAAGGAAAGCGCGTGTATATATCATTTTATGCATTTTAAAACGTAAGGAAATATCTAAAGCGAATTAATAGCTATCTCAAAGATTCGGTCGTAGAGCAATGTAAGTGAAGCTTATAATCAATGGTTGGTCTTTTTATGTTTAAAACAACATGCATTTGAAATTGTTAGAAACTATGCAAAAGAAATGAACAGATAAATTTTAAGAATAAGACCATTTGTTAGAGTAAGGCCATTCATTCAGTACATATACTTGCCGACACAATGGGTTAAGACATTGCATCTACAGACGTTTCCCAGCAATATTTCCCATTCTTACGTGGAAACATATCCTTTTT